CCCCGCCCCGAGGTGGGGGCCGGGGGAGCGGGGAGCTGCCCCTACTGGGCAGGGAGGGGCTGCCTGGGAGGAATGGGACAAAGTGAAAGTCTCGGGACTGCTAAGGAAATGGGCGGAGGGGGGGTGAGGGGCTCGGGAAGAAGGAAGGGGTGCTGGTGGGTCTTATTGGATGCCCTGGAGCGGCTTTTAGTGGCGGAGATGGCGGGGCAGGCCAGCTGATGTTCAGGCCCCCGGTGGGCTTCTGGGCTTCTGATACCGGCCCCTTCCTAGTGAATTCCTCGGATTAAGGAGTGGGCTTTTAACCCTCCGGCGTGTCCTAGAGAAAATTCTCCAGGTTCGGTTCTGTTTCCTCCCTTCTGCTCGACACTCTGGGAAGCCTCGTTCTCAGGTGGAGAGCAGTTGTGCTGCTGTATTGAAACGCGGAACACATTTGTTGTTTATATCTTCGTGGACCAGGGTGCAGGCTGCGGGCACAGGGCACAGATTGCTTCCGCGCCGCAGGCACGAGATCTTTGCTTGCTGACATCCTGTTTTGTTTTCGGTTTTTACATCCCATTTGTTGTTTCTTTCCATCACAGAAACGCTTCGTTAAGGGGCTCAGGCAGTACGGCAAGAACTTCTTCAGAATCAGAAAGGAGCTGCTTCCCAATAAGGAAACAGTGAGTACAATTGGACTTTATGTAACTTGATTTTTTCCTCTCCGCTCCTGCTGCTTCTCCTCCACACTTGATCTTATGAAATGGTTTCCTTTAACCCTGCGCTGTGCTCAGACTCAGGCCGGCCTCTAGCATCCTATTCTTCTTCCTTCCTTGGCGGTTAGTTTTAGATCATGATTCTACATTAAAGTGACAGCGTGTGCCTATCTCCCGAAGAAAGTGACTCCTGCTGTAAGAACAGAAAGGTCCTGGGCACAGGGTTACGGGAGGAGGGAAGGGCCAGGGTGTTGGGGAGTTAACGTGGAATTTTAAATACAGCGGCTGAAATAGGAAATATCATTTATCACCAGTTTGGATTTCGTTGATTGGTTTGTAGCTCATATACTTTGAATTCCAGTGGGACTTTTTCTGTATTTAAGGTTGCTATGTTTTGAAGAGGAGTTTTAACTCTAATTTTCTAGCCCTAAAAGTTTGCACTTTTCATTTGAGAGATGCATAAGAATTTTATAAATTGCTAAATGAGGCTTTAAAAAATTCCTGTGATATTTCACAAAGCTGAGAGTCAGATCCGATGAGTACTCTTACTGAACGTGGGTAGGAGGGTTTGCTGAGAACATTTCAGTGTGAAGTTATACGATGAAAATATTAGCAAGGGATTCTGTTTCATTTATCTGTAATTTCCTACAGGTACTCTGGCTAGGTCAAGGAACAGGGGAGGCTGGGGGTGCAGTAGAACTTGGACATGTGCCCTGATGTCCAGTGTCTGTGGCTGAAGTGCACTTTTAGACTCGGGGATGGGGTGAATATTTAGACATTTTCTCCAGGAGTGGAAGGGGAGATGGACGAAGAATATTCATTGTAAAAGTACATAGGTTGCTATGTTTGGTTTGGTTTTTCGGTTTTCTAATTGGGTTTTGAGTATTGATTTCTTCTTTTGATTATTTTCCTTTTTGTTTTTAATGAACGTTTCTGGACACTTTCTGGACAGTACCTTAAGAACAGCGATAACATAATAGGGGAAGCGGGTTCTGAGATTTCAAGTATAACCTCCTATAAATCGGTGGTTTGCATCATGTCATAACTAGATTAAACTTTTAATATTTATTATACATCTAAAAATGCTGAGAGATGGGTCATGAGAATGGTAAAAATAGAGAAAAATGTTCACAGACATAAAAATTAAATATGTAATAATCCATAAAGCCAACTTATTTATCTTTCCAGAACAAATTGGAAAGAGGTATTTAATGTAGAACAGTGAAAGAAAGTTTTCTGAGGATTTCAGTTACTTGAAGTTTGATATCTATTTTTAAAAACTAAAATGCCTTTACCTGAGTGTAGGAATTTTGATTTGGCCAAGTTGGGGTGAAATTGAGAAAGATCATTGAGTAGCTTTGACTTGATGTGATGGGCTAGATCAGCCGTGGGCAAACTACGGCCCGAGGGCCGGATTCGGCCAGTTTGAAATGAATAAAACTAAAAAAAAAAACACCAAAGACCGTACCCTTTTATGTAATGATGTTTACTTTGAATTTATATTAGTTCACACAAACACTCCATCCATGCTTTTGTTCCGGCCCTCCGGTCCAGTTTAAGAACCCATTGTGGCCCTTGAGTCAAAAAGTTTGCCCACCCCTGGGCTAGATCATAACCTCTCAACTCAAGTCTTATCTATCCCTGCGCGCTGCTAAAACTTGCAAACCACGAAGAATGTGATACAAGATATGGCTCGACAATTACTTTATCCTTCTGTTTTAAAAAATCAATTTATAATAGCAAGATTAAGCACTAAATTTAAAATCTGTCTAGCATTTGGAAATGCTAATTTTATCTAGTTTTAACTCTTGAGTAGGATGCCTTGGTAACCTAGATTAAACCTAAATCTTTGATTCTGTTTTTCTTCTTGCTCTTGGCTCCTCCTCCTCCTCCTCCTTTTTAAAATATATTTTTATTGATATCAGAGAGGAAGGGAGAGGGAGAGGGAGAGGGAGAGAGAGATAGAAACATCAATGAAAACACTTCATGATCGGCTACCTCCTGTACTCCCCACACTAGAGATCGAGCCTGCAACGTGGTTATGTGCCCTGACTGGTAATCGAATTGTAACCTCCTGGTTTATAGGTCAATGCTCAACCACTGAGCCACACCAGCCGTCTGTTCCTTATTCTTACTGATGATGTCAAACTCAGTAAGTAGTGGTTTCTCTAGTACATCTTTCCTGGGACCCTTCCCCATCACTTCTCTGCCATCTCAATTTCCTGGTCATGTGGCTCCTCTCTCTACTTCTCTGGCACACAGAAGTCTTCCTGTTTTAGCCTCTTCAGGGCATGGCCATCAGAGCTAATGGAAGAGTTGCGTGCTTCACCGGAAGATTTATTATGGCTGACATTGGCTAACTGTTCCTGGTGTCCAGTTGTCTTTGCATAGAATTGGAGGAGTTTGTTAGTAGAGTAAATCTGTAAGTATTCTAATCAGCTGGGAGAGGCACTCATATTTTCCTTAGTTATCAGCATAGGCAAGCTAATCATTCACAACTCATGGGGAGGGGAGGGCAAAGGTTCTTTTTCATTTTTGCTGTGGAAGATGAAATATGCAAACACCAGTGTTTTTGGTTGAAAACTTCCTCGGTAGAGATCTTCATATGGTTATGCCTTTTTTATAGCAAATCCTTAGCTACTTTCCACATTCTGTTCTATTTACCGAAATTATTAACTCGTTTCTTTGCTATTCTCAACTGACTTGAAACTTCAGAAGGGTGTCAGCATCCAAAGAGCACGCTTGGTTGGGCCTGGACCTGGGTCAGCAGACCTGTGCTCTATTCTTGGTTTCACCAGTAACTGTAGTACGTGATGATCTCTTTTGACTGTGCAGTCTGCTTTGAGCTGTATTGGGAAGTTCAGGGCAAATCCTGACAAGGACTGGGAAGTTATTTTTTCTAAAATGGTGTTTCTTTGCATGAGAATTTTATAGGTGCTCCATACAATCTTTATAAAATGTCCACGCACTTTGGGCCATCACTGTGCCTGAGAGCAAATGATGGCTCTCGCCTCCTTTGCTACTAACCTGCTTTGGGGCCTTACACAGAGTATTCAGTCTCTCTGTCCTTTAATGTCTGTGTCTGTAAAATGGGCTGATTCTTCTACTCTTAAGAATAGTTGTGAGCCCTAGCCAGTTTGGCTTAGTGAATAGAGTGTCGTCGGCCTGCGGACTGAAGGGTCCCGGGTTTGATGGTCAAGGGCACATGCCCAGGTTGTAAGCTCGATCCACAGTATGGGTGTTGCAGGAGGCAACCCATCAGTGATTCTCTGTCATCATTGATGTTTCGGGGTGTGCAGGAGGCAGCTGGGCGGTGTTTCTCTCTCATTGATGTTTCTAATTCTCTTTCCTTCTCCCTTCCTCTCTGTAAAAAAAAATCAATAAAATATATTAAAAAATATTCAAAAAAATTTTTTAAAAGAATAGTTTTGAGAATTTAAATGAGATACTATCGATAGAGTGCCTAAAAACACTTGAAAATGATTGGTCTTCCCATCTACCCCAATACCCATCTACCCCAATACTACACAGAGTAGCTAAATGCCATGAAAGTACATAATTATTTTCTGCTTATAAACAAATTGAATCTTTGTAAAAACAAAGTACAAAATTTTTTAAAAGAATAGTTTTGAGAATTTAAATGAGATACTATCGATAGAGTGCCTAAAAACACTTGAAAATGATTGGTCTTCCCATCTACCCCAATACCCATCTACCCCAATACTACACAGAGTAGCTAAATGCCATGAAAGTACATAATTATTTTCTGCTTATAAACAAATTGAATCTTTGTAAAAACAAAGTACCTGTTTTTTCTTAGTCTCACTTGCCAAAAATTATTTTAGTTGAAAAACTGGGAAGGGGTGGAGGGCAGTGCCTACTTTAAGGGATGTATTTTGTCTTGAACTTTGTTGAGGAGACTTCCATTCTTACCTGTTCTGCAGTGAGTTGTGCAGACAAAGGTTCCTGGTGGGTATGGACATAAACGGCTTTCCTAGCTCTTTTGGTCTGGTGTTTATTACACAGGCACTACATCTGGCTGTTCTCCGAATACTACTGCCCACTGAAGCGGGCATAGTGGTTATGATTGTGGAAAACCGCTGTTTATAGAGGTTTAGTTGAGTGGGTATTACATGTCAACCTCATGATACCCAGGAGAACCGCAAGTCAGATATTTTAGTATCATGGCTGTACAGATAACCTGAGGTTTATCATCATTCTCTGTAACCTTCTGTCTCCCTCAGTAAGTAGGAGTGAATAGAGTAAAGAGCCTTTGCCGAGCGTATCAGATTCTGCTTGGCTGTGCACTTCGCTCTCAAGACACTATTGGGCCTAGACCACACGAAGCCTGTGGTCCGAGTACGTTTATGTAAGCCACAGTCCGTGTCCCCTCGCTGGGGTTCTGAGAGGATGGCGGAACCAGGCTCCTTGGGTTCTGCCTTAAGGACTTCAGGTGCTCTTAGGCTTGATGAGTTACGCTGCGGTAATGCCTGAAAGAATGAGAGACCAGATAGAGTGGAATCTTAATTACCAGGAGGGGAAACCATGTTATGAGTAATACAAAGTCATGGGTGTTCCAAAACAGTCTTTTGTTTGATTTTTATACAGACTTTGCAGTTTTCTTCAAAATTATGAGATGATTACTCAGGTGACAGCGACATTTATCTTTTGTGCTGAACACATGTTTGTGTTGTTTGAACCAAAGACTTTCAGTATCTGACACCTGGATGATTGTCCCTTGAATCCTGGCTGGACTCTGTGTGTGGCTCTCTCTATCTGCTGTGGCTCAGACAAATTTAGCCAGCATTGGATCCTAGACAGGGAGCACTTACTCAGCGACCTGTCTCAGATGCAGCTAATATTAGTGAGAAGACAATTTGATCTGCTCCGAGTTGGTCGAGAGAAGAAATGCCCCCAAAGTTGTAATTAGCCTGTGGAGGAAGGAGGTGAAAAGGCGCCCATCCTTA